ATACATACATACATACATACATACATACATACATACATACATACATACATACATACATACATACATACATACATACATACATACATACATACATACATACATACATACATACATACATACATACATACATACATACATACATACATACATACACAAAGATATATATACACATATATAGGGGTTGGTTCAAGTTAGAATAATATCCTTACTGCGAGAATATGAGAATGGTGCTTTTCCAGACTGCCGAGATGCATTTTACACTTGTAGTAGTGCATTTTCCTAAAGTTCAATTTATTTACAAAATTGCCACTGATTTTTTCAATTTTTCAAAATTTTTGATTTTTAATCTCTTAGATCTTAAATCTAATGGATCGTATGCATTCTGATTTCTTTCACAATACATGATCCTCATTTGAACAAAAATCTATATATATGGGATTGACTCCAGTCAGATGACACCTTACGGTGAGATGACATGCTACGGTCAGATGACGCAAAGCTCACCACTGGTCACTGCAAAGCTCACCAAACTGTAAGGCAAAGCTCACCATATTTTTTCAACACTTTAAATTTTTTTTGAAAAAAAAACAAAGGGAGTGGTGCTGACTAGACTTTGACCATTGACCGTTGACCATCACCGGCCACCCCTACCGCCGCCGCCGCCAACCTCTGCCGCGCCGCCGCCGCTGACCGGTGGTTGACCGGTGTTGTTATTATATTTTTTATTAATTTTTTATTTTTCAAAATTAAAAAAAAGGTGAGTTTTGGTGTTCAAAGTGATGAGCTTTGCTTTATTTCCAGGTGAGCTTTACATTGGCCATTGGTGAGCTTTGCAGTGTAATGTGGTGAGCTTTGCGTCATCTCACCGAAGCATGTCATCTCACCGTAAGCTGTCATCTCACTGGAGTCAATCCCTATATATATATATATATATATATATATTCAAATAAGCTTGAACCACTAGTTTGATTAGTTGCACCACTTGTTCGACCTGTGAACCTGTGCACTAGTGCCTTGACCGGTTTAGTCACCAAGTACAAGACTAAGTAGGGGTGAAGAAGGTTGCAAAGGAAGAGCATCCAACATAACACTTAACGACTATGCATAATCCTGTTCTACCAGTAGGTTTTCCTAATTGTTGATCTCCTTTGTGCTCCATTGAAACTCCTTTAAATGGACTCAAACAATTTAATGCTGATTCGGGCATTTAAATTGTCAGAGAATTTAGCAACAAGAGCAAATTTGGTAATTGTCTTGTGTCAACTAAGACGGTCCCACAATGTCGGGATAGTCTCTAACTTTTAGAATTAAGCTTCCACAATTTAATAAAATTAAACTTGTAATCAAGGAATAAATCTAGAATTTTCATCAAATCCAAGGGTAAGATGTGGACAAAACATGAGGACTAATAAACAATTGGAAAAACAGTCATAACAAGAACAAAATTTCTATGTAACTCCATCTTTCTACTAACTCTCAGAGACATGCTCTTTTGGAAGATACAAATCCATATATCACATACTGCTTTGAGACTACGCAAGATATATAACATTGTAAACCATACCTGGAGCGCCTCAATGCTTATTGAGGGGTTTGTTTCTGGTTCAGAATGTTGAAATAAGACATTTAAAATGCCTGATTTCTGATTGGCAAAACCTGGGGGGGAAACTATGCATGTCAACACTTCATATGACATTATATAATCAACCACTACAAAGCAATTGTTATTCCAACAACTGAGGAGTGAACCAATGCTGGTAGTGAAAAATCAAATATGAATACAACCTGACATTTAATTCAAAGAATCTAAAGCATACATCAGTTTGTTGACAGTTACATCATACATAACCACAAGATAGTTCACGAACTCGATAATCACAAAGCCAAAAGTGCTTCCTGCTAAGTGGCTTATGAGCCAATCAAGCAAAATAAACAAATATAAACCAATCAGTACTTTATTTAAACCACTACTTTGGTTATCAACCTTAGAACAAAACATGGAAGATGCATGCCTCAGAGGTTTCATATTTTTTGTCTGTGCAGATGTTCATGAAACATCTATGAACCTACTACTTAGTATTTGGGTCGTGCCCTGTTTCCTCTTTTCGTATTTACATTCAAGATATGGTTTATATACTCTTTAGGATTATTGATTATGTTCCATGATTTGCATGTTGGCCGTGCAATGGTCATGAGAATAGCAAATATTTCAATTCAGTGCCTTCTCATTTTTCATGTATGTGAAAATAACCGGTGGTGATAGCGAGATTTTCATCTCATTATTGCTTACAACGAAGGCTGCATCAGGAAGGTTTTGGGGTAAAACAATGCCGCCACTTTTTTTATGTATTAAGGGTGTTTTTGTTTAGGGGGAAAATATCATCCAAGAAGAATATTTTCCAGGGGAAAATAATTTCCAAGGAAAATTATCCCCCGCCCCACACACACATTTTAAATTGTTTGGTAGGAAGGAAATTATTTTCTGAAAAAAAAAAACATATTTACTTGTAAACATTTCAAAGTTGATGTTTTAAAATATGTTTTAAAGATGATTCTAAACTATTTTAGCAACATGGGGGCGGCGTATGGTGGGGGTATTGGCACGGGATAGGGGTGAAAGGGGTAGGGACAGATGGCAAGGGTTGGCATGGAAGATAACAATGGGGTGGAGGAAACGGGCAGGTGGCTGCGGT